AGTATGGTTTTCTTGTTACTGTATTTTTAATGATTACTTAATGATTACTTGATGATTACTCAAAGAATCGTTACATTGAATGTATTGTGAGTCTAATTGCGCTAACTAATGTTACCCTTATTTGGCAATATTGGAAACTGATATATTAATGTTACAACATTTGTATTACTGTATACATATAAAAGTCTATCTTTGTGTGCTTTTGAAACCGTAAACCCTGCTGTCGTACATTATCAGAATTTTCAGATTATCAGAGTTGGTCAAGTATAACTTATTTAAACAATCTATTGTTTAACAATAATTTTTCAGGAGCTGAGGATTTTATTTATGACGGTTACTATGTTTTTTTTTCGCTCCATGATTATTGACAAGGTTTCATCTTATTTAATTTTTGATTGGAATATTGTTCACCTATTTGCCCAGCCTCTGTTTCACACACAGCTGTATGTTCTGCTTGGTCACGGCATTGGTTTACAAAGATGTCTGTAATATTAGAGATCAACCATTTGAAAACTGATGGAGAAATTATTTTTTTTCAATTAGTTCATTCATATATTCCTGGCGATATTTGTTTGTCTTTTTTTTTTTACATTCAATTCTTTTTAATTTATACAGCTATCGTGTTTTTGCTTTCTCTTACCCCATACCAACTTTTTCCTTTTTTCTTTTCAAGAAATCTTTCAGCTCCCTACTTTTCAAATGGGGAAACCCCTAAGAAAATCTCCATGGTAACTTACATTGCTTTCTACTCCTAATCACTTCAAATTTTCCCAAATTCAAAGTTCAAAATTACTTTCAGCTTCCAGAAATAATTGTGTAAGATACTACAGACAATTGTTTTGTCCCACTATGAGTTTTGTACGTACACGTTATGCATTTTGGTCACTTTATAGTTTTTGCAATAAAACAATGTCACAACACTGATCTCTGATTTTCTTTGTGCTTTATTCACATCTGATATATTTTTATCCACAGAACTTTAAAATATTTTGATTGAAATATATGCTCATATGGGACTAAAAAGAAGTACTGCCACGTTGTGTTGCGCATGTTTCATAACGAGTGCACTGCCTCGTGTTGCACTGTAGTTTCTTTTATACTGCTTCCAATAGCTCTTCCCGAGCCGAGAATCTCATTTTTTTGTTTTTGTTTTGTTTAAACTCTGTATGTACATTGAATTTTATAGAACCCTTATGCATGTCGCTTTATCAGATTGAACCCAAAATGGCCGACTGATGAGTTTTAGTCATATTCCTGACATTGACTGTTCATATTCAAACTTCATATATTTTGTAAACTGAATTTGCAGGGACTGTAATGCAATCACTCATTTTGATTCATTAAGATGGAATTTCACTAGGTGCAGAGTGCTCTCAAGACCCTTCTCGTATTGATAGAGTAGTGTGCCTGTAGATAGCAGTCTGACGTAGAATATTTCAAATCAAAGTCGTAATTTTTGTATTGGTTTTACTTCCAATTCTTAGGACCCAGTTAGATCATCAGAACAATATATCAAAAGTCGCAGTGCATGCATGCATGCATGTATGTATGTTTTCAAAGTTTATTTTCAAACTTAACTAACATTACCCATGTCACCTACAAAACAAGTTACCGGGCAAGGTGCTGGCCGTTACTCATCAAACACAAGACCCACACTGTAGCTCTGATTGTTGATATTAAAGAATTCTGGTACAGGTTGTTAGAGTACCGTACAGTTAAGATGGATCTCTAAACCATTACTTGTGTGCGTTCCAATACAACCACAATTGATTCATGCTCCCGTTATAAGACAGTGTAAATACTGCAAAAGCACTCTGTTTTCAGTAATTTGTGGAAATAATGCTGTGTCCACAAGAATGGAAATCATCAAAATACCAGCTGAAAGGGTTTGCCAAAATTTCTTTGACTAAGATGTTTGGTGTATAATCTGGAGTAGATTGTATGGACTTTCCCGCCTTGGATCAACTCCCTCCATTTCAGTGTATCAACTCTCCAGTTAGCACCATGGTGTTCTGAATGCATACCTCTACTGAAATTGAACTATAGAAGACGTTTGGCCGAATGGTGGGCATTTTTGTGCTAAAAAATCATCAAAAACAAGCATTTATGGATGGATTTTGTTTAATCTTGGTACATACTGCGGACATTATGGGACCTTGATGTACATCATTTTATTTTTCAGATCCAATTTAAAATGGCTGACTGGCGGCCATTGAATGCAGTTCTTGTGCCATATCTCTGCCATGCTTTGATTGATTATGATCAAATTTTATATATTCATTATACAGTACATCATTACATAGATATATTGGTTTGACTATCTGATTCCAAATGGTCAAATGGCAGCCATTTTTGTGCTAAAAATTCATCAAAAATTAAGTATTTCTGGCATTCCATAACTGGATCTTGCTGTTTGTGGATGGATTATGTTCAAACTTGTTACATACATTAGAGATTATGGGTTCCTGATGCACTTCATTTTATTTTTCAGATCTGATTCAAAATGGCTGCCATTTTGTTTAAATGAATGCATTTTTAGAGCCATATCTCTGATATGCCTTTACTGATTATGTTCAAATTTTATATGTTCATTTTCATCATGTTATAGATATATAGATGTATTCAAAATGGTCTACTGGTGGCCATTTTGTTTTAATTAATGCTGTTCCAGAGCAATATTTGTCAGTATGGACAAGTACTCGTTTGACGATCAGATATAAGAATTCAATCATTTTAATGTTAAAAAATCATCATAATCAAGCATCATCATCTGGATCCATACTTCTGACATGTTAATGTTCCAACTATATTACTATAAACAAAACTATATATCTTAAATTTTATAACGGGGACTGTGCCATGCATGGCTTGTTTTATTCTTATTCCCAATGTGACTACATCTACTGAGGTTCTTCAATGTAGGATGGTGTGATATATCAGAGGCAGTACAAGGACTTTTTTTTGATCGTCTAAGCAGTCTACCCCCGGTTGCTATGGTAGCAACTGTCCTCATTATGTTGACATTTTGAGACATGCTCATGAAAACCACAATGCTCCCGAGGCAGTACTACAAAATGACCTTTCTGAGACAACACAGTTCTCACTTTGCCACACGGAAAGGGTTTTAGATTTTGGAAAGATTTTAAAGCTAGCTCATTCTGAATTCTCAAAAATTTACTTTCAGTCAGCAAACCTGTTTGATAGATGTCTGGTATTGTCAAGATTTCCTCTGCTTTCACCATGACTGTTTAAAGTGCCTGTGCAATGCCCACCCTCACGTTTCCCATTTTAGATCTGTATCCCACTGAAATGGGCAGTTATTGATTTTTTTGCTTAAAGTGATTACTCGTATCCAAGTAAATTTGGGATATTTCTCGTGTTGTAGCCACGCCGGATTTCCGACTCTCGCTGAAAGTGCTCCACCAAATGCCAATATGTGAGAGGAAGTCATACCCCTGAGCCGTAATAACACTGGTCATTCAGTATACTTTTAAACGATGTACATTTTTCAGTCGGAGTTTTTTTTCTTTTTCTTTTTTTTTTGTCTATTTTTTCTTTTTTGAGAGAGAGAGTTTTTAGATGTTGTGTTGTGGGCAGTTGCAGTGAAACGTATAGTCATAGTGTAAGTATTCACAAGTTTCTAATCGATCCGAAGGTGCGACATCAGTGAACGAAAGCCACTTTGCCTCAGATTCCAGCATATTCCCCAGGCATATGCTAGAGACATTTGTAAGGCTGTCAACATAACATTGGAAGCATGGGTAAGTTAGTCTCATAAATTCACTCAAAACCAGCTGTGAAGAGGGTACTTAGAAGCACCCCTGACATGGTTATAGCGGTTTCCAAAAAATGAGTTTTAGGGACATGTATTGTGATTTGTGAAGAACCAGATGAACCAGTGATCTCAATATCCATCCCTGAAATGGGCCACGTGAGTATGCTCTGAAAATACTATCACCGCACACAGGCACTCGAGGTGGGGGGGGGGGGCAGTGATCATTTCCCAAACCACTGAAAACCACTAAGCTTACATACATCAAGGCTGACACTCCACAGGAACCAAATTCCGCAAAATACATGATTTAGACCATTACACACTATGTACTGGCAACTGGATAATCACATCACTTTATATGTTTTACTCTGGAATATCTCTCTCTGACAGCACCAACTACCACAGACTGGGTCTGATCATAGCAGGGCAGAGGTTGACAACTGATCTTGATAAAGAACCATTCACCATACAAATCTCTGGTTAATTTTGAATGATCATGTTATCGACATTCAAGACAATCGTCTGACAAA